GTATGTATGTAATATTCTATACTTTTATTGTTCAGTTGTATGAATTTAGATATAATATATATACAATGCAAACGTGGCATGTTAACATTCCTCCTTACTCAATGTGTTTTCCTTTGTTGTTTTTGTCTTTCCCTGATAGGAAGACAAAAAGAATTGGATGAAGCACTGGTTGACCTGATTGTGAAAGACTCACAACCTTTCTCAATCGTGGAAGATGAAGGGTTCAGGAACTTTGTCAAGAAGCTTGATCCCAATTACATCCTCCCATCCAGAAATACACTGAAAGCCATGTTGAAGTCCAGATACAGAGAGAGAAAGGACAAAGCCATGGAAGAAGTGAAGACACACACAGCTGAACATCTGAAGGAGGCTAAGAGTGTACTTCTGCATTCATGGGGGATAGAAAAAAGGTCACATGTTTAATAACTGATAATGCACCCAATATGATTTTACAGGTTCAACACGTGCCTTGTTTTGCTCACACATTAAATTTGGTGGTGAGAAAAGCCATACAGCAAACTCCAGCATTGCATGAATTATGTCTGCAATCAAGGCAGATAGTTGGCCTTTTCAGGTCCAGTGCCACTGCGAAGCAGAAGCTCTCAGACATTCAGGAGCGAATGGGGAAACCTGTAATGAAACTCTTACAGAAGGTGGAAACCAAATGGAACAGCACCTATTTAATGTTTCAGCGTCTGCTGGAGCAACGTGAGACTATAGCAGCAGCCTTGGCCTCTCTCAACACAACCTTCACTCCTTTCAGCAGTGTTGACCAAGACACAATCAGTGAGTGTCTTCAGCTTCTAGCTGTCTTCAATGAAGCAACTGTTGAACTGTCATCGGAGAAGAGAGTCTCTGCCTCAAAAATAATTCCAGTCGTCGGGTTGATTCATCACAAAGCCCATGAAAAAGGTGAGAGGTTGATAAGTCCAATTGCTTCTCATTTACATAGGAACCTACAGAGGAACTTGAGGGAAAGATGTGGAGTAGAGCCTGTGAGGATACTTGCAGTTGCAACTCTACTGGATCCTCGATTTAAAGTTCTGGCTTTTGGATGTTCCGAAAATGCAGCCAAAGCTGTAAAGGCTTTAACATCTGAGTGCTGTGCTGTCATTCGTGCAACTTCACATGCACAAACAAGTGCTTGTGCACCAACAACATCAGCCACTACAGCACCACAGGGCAGTGAACATAATGAAGAGTGTCTCTGGGATGTACTGTATTTCACAGCAAATTAGTTGAAACCAACAGAGGAAAGAGTGTCACTGCAGATGCCACTGTTGAGGTTCAACGCTATCTCTCTGCCCCATATCTACCTAGAGCAGAGGACCCTCATCTGTTTCAGCTGGCCAAGACATATCTCTCCATTCCAGCAACATCAGTACCATGTGATCGAATATATTCCAAAGCTGGAGAGATACTGAGCAAGAGACGAAACTGTCTCAGCCCGAGCAGCGTTGAACAGATTGTTTTTCTTAATAAAAATACTTAAATGTACAGTAGCACCTCCTTCTGATTCATGCCAATTTGTACAGAAGCACCACATACACATGCTGATAAAAAATCATTTTAATTCAGGTTTATTTATATAAATACACAACAAATGTCTTTTATGAAAAATACTATGGAATAAAAACAAAAAATGTGAGGCCACAGAAACACACAGGAAGACATTGCAGTTTATTGAGTGTGATGTTGTAGGGTAAAATTTATTTAGCCACCAGATGTCACTGTTGTAAGTTCCGAACGTTCCAAATGATCGATTCATTTTCTGGAACAATTGTTCCAAATGATTCGATCGCGCAAACGTTCCATTTTTGCCATCACTAGTAAGTACTGTACTTTACACTTTTTAAACCATGCATTATGTAAGGTTTAAAAGTAGCTGTGTTTTACAATGCATATTGCTGTTTAACTCTACGTTTAGACAAACTTAATCTGTGCTGTTAAAACAGTCGAGAGTCGCACGTGCCGGTTTGAAATGAATGCTGCTTTTACAATGTATATCGCTGTTTAATTCCATGTTTAGACAAACTTAAATCAACAATCTGCACCGTTACAACAGTCGATTGTGCAGGTGTCGCTTTGAATTGAATGCATAGTTGCCTACAAGTCACGTCAACCCCTGACTATACGTGTGTAACCGGTTGGAAAAGCAGTCTTTATTTTGGGTGTTAACACTGTTTTGAAGTGGGGATAAAGGACTTTGTTTTCGCTTTGGAAAGGTGCACTCTCCCTTTAATTATTAAGGTGCTGGCCTTGTCCACGTTGGGAACCGCCCGGAGGCTATGTTCGTTTTTTTTTGTGGTATTCCTCTGCTCCCGCGCCTTTTGGAGAAAACATGGCCGCGAAGCACATGGGGAGCGAGGCCGGGGTGATCCTCGCAGAGTAAATGTAAGTTTCCCTCTTAATATTGAGATGTAATGGTAAAAATAATATAGTATGTGTCTTGGAGGGGATTAGTGACAGTCTGGTAGGTAATACTGTTTGGATGATTTTCGATTTAAGTGTAGAACAAGGATTGTACGTCCGTTTAGCATCTGTGTGTCAGTAAAGGCTAAAGCTGAATGCAGTGTAAATGTGTTTTTTATTATTATTAATTCACATTAATGCATTGTTTTATTTCATTGCATGTTTGTAATCCATGAACGGGTGTATGAATAACCTGGGGCTTTCATGTAAGCCGTTTGGAGGGGTGCAAACCATTTAGGGAGAGACGCGAAATACTGAGATGTAAGTTAAAAGGGCGCTATTGTTCATTTTTGTGTTAAATGTGTATATCTTAGTATTCAAGATGAACGGTTGTATGTACTTTTGTATTTCCTTGTGCAATTCTAGTCCACTGCTGTATTCTACACACTGTTAAAAAATACAGAGTTTGATTTATTTTATTACTAGTATTTGTTGCTGGGGAGAGTTGATCTGTACCTGTGTAGTGATATCGCGTATCACTGTACCGCACGGTAAAATTTGTGAAGGAAGGAACAGGAAAACTCCGCTCAGCTGCCCTTCCATTTTCTTTGGGCGGCCAGCAAATAAAGAACCCCAAATCATTTGTGTTTGTCTGTGTGATATAAATTGCACTGGCTACACATGTATTACTACTAGGTGCGCCAGTTCTTCCACCAATAGGTGTATGATCTCATTTTACCTGTAATTGAAATTAAATAGTTGAATAATTAAATACTGTAGCACTCGATGCATAAAGCAATGAAATATACTCTGAACCATACGTAATCAAATGTGCCTCTTTCTAGATAGTAAATAGTTTACTATTATGCCCCGCAAGCCCCACGCCTGCCCCCTGTGCCAGGTGACTTATATAAACATTTCGGTCCACCTTCATGACGTGCACAAGGTGGACAGCAACACAGAGAGGAGGCTGCTAAACTCCGTGTCGTTGGGCAGATTTGCTGGGCTGAAAGATTGCCCCGTGCCCCTCTGCCCGGCGATAAACCTCAGTCAAATCGACTGCCACCTGAGGCTGCGGCACTCGCTCTACAGCGATGAGCTGAAGGAGCTAGTATTCCATCCATTCCATTTAATTGTATTTGTACAGGATATTTCCACAAGATTTCATTCTCTTGCATGATTATCTCCTGCCCAAAACCCAGATCGCAGTCGGCAAGAAGCAGGCGGCATGGCAGTCGTTGCACGAATTTAAAAGCGCTCGCAGGGAGAAAACCGATTAAATGGTGCAGCGGATCAGACGGCTGGAGCAGGAGGTGGCAGAGCACAGACAAAGTTCCTCTTCGCCACAGGGATCGGGATCCGGGTCGCACAAGCAGTTCTTCTCTGGTAATAATTACAATTGCAATGTCATGATAAAATTTATAAGACTTAAACATTATGGACCTTAAACATCTGTTCCTGGATTTCTAGTCATTACGGCCTTTAAACGTGGACGTCTTGGGTTTTGTTAAAATTTTTAACCTCATGTCCTTTATGTAGGTGAACATAATTTCCGGTGGGTTTACACGGCTTAACTTTAATTTTCTGTTTTTCTTTTTTCCTTTTAGACTTGGCGCTCCCCAGATTTCAGGAGAGCGTCTTCCTGGTCAGCGCCTCTGGGACTTTCTCACAAAAACCAGATGCATGAGCTGAAGTGCATTAAAAGTTTTGTGTTTTTCATGTGGGGCAATAAAGAGGCCCCAGCTCCTGCCCACCTCCGATTTCTGAAGGACACTGGCAGAGTTAATGACTGGCTGTCTGACCTTGATAAGAAATTCAAGGTTACGACGAATAAAACCTATGTCTTGGCCGTCATTAAATTCTGCCAGTTCTTGTTAGAGTCGGACCTCTTTTGTGTCCGGCTCCACAAACAGGAAATCGCCTACCTTTTTCGGCATTTGAGGGGACAGCTCAAAGCATTGGGGAATCGAATAGTCGGACACAGGCAAGAGGTGAAGGAGCAGAACTCTCAGAGGATGCTGACCCAGGAGAACCTCTCGGAGCTGGCGACCGAGCTGCAATCCCGGATCCCTGAATGTCTCGGTAAGTGAAAACCCCATTTGTCTTACAGATGGGAGTCTCTCGATGTCACGCTCACGGATTTATTTTTTTATCTCACTTACAGATGCTCTATCAGAGTCAGAGACATCCTACTGCACAACAAGTGCATAGGTGCAATTGCCACCTATGTATTTGTAAACACAGGCCACAGGAATAGCATGGTAATAAACATGTTGGCGCGAGAGGTCACCAAGGTGCAGGTATCAGAGGACAAGGTGGTCATTCACGTGAGTGTGCCTGGACTTCATTTAGTAATTCTTTAGTCATTACAGCATTTTAAACGTGGATGTCTTGGATTTTGTTTCAGACAGTTAAACATTATGAATTTTAAACATCATGTCAACGTTCATGTCAAACATGACCCCCTCCAAAAAAGAATACCAGTGGCTCCACCAGTTCGCTCAGCTCCGCTTTGAGCTCCCTGGCTTCAGATCCTTGGTCAAGACATTATTTTTCACGTCTTCAGGACAGCCGTTTCGGAAACTGAACGACATGGTGATGGACACATGCCTGAATTGTGGCATGCCCAAGGCATTCACCATGTCACAGTTGAGTAGCGGCGTGTTGACGTGTGTAAGTAAAAATCAGATACAATCCTAAAGTCTGCGGCTTTAGAAATTGTCTCGGCCGTGATCGATCTCTCATTCTTGCTTACAGATAGAGAGGAACCTGCCGGAGGACCAGCGGCAGCTGGTGTCGCACATGATGTGTCTCAGCGTGGAGACTGCTGACCGGTTTTATGTCGCGGAACCTGAGCTCGCCGAGCTGCACGAGGGCTGAGAATGCCTCCGTCAGGCCCTGGGCCTCAGCAAGGTTCCACAGCATTCTGGCGGTACTAACATGTGACAAAGAAGGTGGAAACACCCTGTGGAGGAAAAGACAAGTCAATCACTTCAGCAAGGGAACAGTGATGGTGAGGCTAAAATAACATATTTATTTTCCAACAGGTGACACTGCCCAGACGGAGGGAGCCCCGGGGGCACCTGGCACACAGCCGCCGTATAGGGTGGTGGTCCTCGACCAGCTGCAGGAGGAGCAGCAGTTGGAGCAGGAACAGTTGGGGCTGCAGCAGCTGTTATAGGATCAGCTGCAGCAGGAGGATGAGCTGGAGCAGCGGCAGCTGGAGTAGTTGGAGGAGTCAGAGTCTGAAGTAAGTTTCATCACTTAATTGTTTTGGTAATTGAGGCATTGATAATTTGTGTGAACAGAAATTTATATACATGTCTGAAACTGAAATCTCTCTCTTTCTGACAGTTCCCCAGTTTTCTGCCAAAAGTAGTGCCATATGCTTGGGTAATGCCAAGGCATCCGATTTTAACTTTTTAAATGTGTCTGGGAAATTTATGTCTTTGTGGTAATTGGCAGTGATCAAAAAAATGTAATTTTTTAAAAATATCACAGAAGGCACTCGTCCGACGCAAGCTGACATATCCTGACACCTTAAAGGATATGGTTCGCTTCGAGTTCAGGGATCATTGGCAGGAATGGCCAATAAGAACATATATGATTAGTATGCTGTTAGTATGCAGTCAGTTACTGCCACCGATGTATTAGAGACATGAATGAAATAGAATACTGTCTCCCATTCTCCTCCAGCACTGCAAAGACCTCCGATTGACAATCGACAATGTCCAAAGCTTATTAAAGCAAATGCAACAGTATACATTTAAGATGGTAGTGGTTACTACTACCTCTTTACTATTGTGTTTGCTGTTGTTGATATATGCTTGTTTTCTGCTTGTCTACATTTCAGACCATGAATCATTCCACAAGAAACAGCAGGAGGATATCAGTCCTTTTGAAAGCCCATCATCCCCCCCCCCCCATTTTGTATTTATTTACTGTAGTCTCCTTTAAGTATTTATATAATATATATTTTTATATATGTATATTTTTATTTCATTTCACAGCTGCTGTGTTTTTATTTGTGGTACCGTAAAAGTCACTTTGCACTTGAGGTTTTGTTAAGTTATAAAGGAAAA